TGTGTCCGCAGCCACCACTTGCTGCTGAGTGAGTGACGGAGCCCCGGGAGGAGGAACGCCTCATTTAGGATCTGAAATTTCATCTTGGGAAACACCCGAGTAGGACCTGCCTGACCTCACCTCCACCCTCCGTGGCAGTGGAGAGTCTAGACTTTGCCCGCCCTTCACTCAGCGGGGGATCTCGGCGGCCTTCTTCTGGGGACCCCTGCTGTCCCCCCTCCCCTGCCCACTCTTGCCAGCTCTGCCTGCGGGCCCAGCCCTCTCTGCCAGCGCCGCCCATAGCTCTGGGCTCAGATCAGCAACAGCTGACTCCCCAGAATATCCCTACAAGCTGCCCTCGACTAGAAACATTTCCGGAAGGTCGCCCAAAGGCGGGCTCTAGGCAGGAGGGGCACGGCCCACTGTGAGTCACCAAGCGAGGCTGCTGGAGAGAGAGCCTCGGGTCTCGGGTTTGGGTGGTGGGGGGTTGGGCAGGCTTCTCTGCACACGTGCTGCGTGAGTGCTAAGTCACTTCGGTTGTGTCCGACCCTGTGTGACCCCATGGACTGCAGCCCACCAGGCTCCTCTGTCCATGGGGTTCTCCAGGCAAGAATGCTGGAGTGGGTAGCCATTCCCTCCTCCATGGGATCTCCCCCACTCAGGGTTTGAACCCCCGTCTCTTACGTCTCCTGCACTGGCAGGCAGGTTCTTTACCAGGAGAGGCACCTGGGAAGCCCTTTCTCTCCATGGATGGGTTAACTGATGGGACTTATGCCAGCTAAGGGCTGGGAGGTGGCTCTTCGATGCTTATTAATCAGAACGTGACTGGAATGCTCCATGGGGCTCGCTCTGGGTATGGTCCACCCCTGCCCTGCGCCCCTGAGATTTTAAAGCCAGGAAACCCATTTTCCGAAGCTGTCCTGTGTCACCCTCCTCCCCTGCGCCCTCCCCTTGACGGGTTTTGCAGGCAGAAGCCCGGGGGCAAGGCGGCCCTTCAGCTGGAGCTGTTCCACCATCAAGGGCTCAGCAGGCCCGCTTAGAGCTCCAGCTGGGGACTCCGATTCCGAGGGTGCGTTCAAGGACCACATTAACGAGTCCTCGGAGGAAAGCTCTCGCAAAGCTTTTGAGCTCATAACCGCTTGGCCGTGTTACGAGCTGTCAGTGTGCTAAGGTTCAGAAAATATAAATATTCCGAGAGCTGGCGTGCCAGGCCTTCGCCCACCAGAAGCTTCTCCTGGGCGCTGACCCCACGCCTGTCCCCAAGTCGGGGGGCGGTGGGGGCGGACCATGCTGGGGACCCTTTGCTCTGCGAGCTCCCTGGGCAGTACCCCTTGAGAACCGTGTGGACAATGAGAGCCCCCCGGGTCCCTCTGAGGTCAAAGGGCACCATTGTGGGCACTGGGGGAACCTTCCCTGTCCCCAGAGACTCCGCAGTGAAACCACTGCAGGGGGTTTGCGTTCTTTCTGCCCTTCCACCTCGAGCTTTCCCTCCGTCAGCTGCATGACATCAGCTCTTATTTTTGACATGTTCAACATGCCGCTGAGACCCAGGCGTTGGCACGGCACGGCGGAGGGGCGCTGACTCTTGGGGCAGCCTTGGGCAGGGCTGCCAGCCTTCAGGAGGATGGGGAGGGAGCGCGGGGTGGGGGTGATGCTGACTCAAGGCCTCCCCCCCTCCCTCTTCCCACCTGCAGACGCCTGTCCTCTCTGGTCCTCCTGGAGGCCAGGCTTTGGCCATGGAGGCGCCCGGCATGCTGAGGGCCATGTCTGCAGTGTGAGGTCCCAGGAAATGTACAGCAGGGATGTCTGAGCTGCCTCGAGCTCAGGACTCACGGCTACTGAGAGTTGTCACCAGCCCATGCCTCTTGTGTTCCCAGACCTGCAACCCCAGAGGACTCATCCCAGCCTGAAGCGTGGACCAGGTCCAGGGAGGGCCGCTCAGAGCCCACGGACATCCGCGTCCCAGTGCCAGTGTGGCCTCCATGTCAGCAAACCCGAAATGGTTTCAAGGCCCCCTAACATCCGTCCCCCGTGTCCTCATATATGCACAATCTTCCTTCATGGATGCAGAAAGCTCCATCACCAGTGCGTAAGTTTTCCGTGTAAGACCTAACCCTGATCCTGCCCCATCACGGACTGATCTTGCCTCCTGCTTCACACTGGGGTGCAGGGAGGGCACCCGCGGAAAGGAGGGCTTCCAGTGAGGCTGGGGATGGGAACGCAGAGGGGCGTGATGCGGGAGGGGCCAAAGGCAGGCTCTGCTTGTTTCAGTTCAGCTGTCTCCCCAGAAGTGAGATGGAAGCCCTAACCACCGGTGCTGTGACGGCCACTTTACCAGAATGGGATCTTCGCAGGTGTCATCCAGTTGAAGCCGTCAGGGTGGCACTAAACTAGTCGGGGCTTCCCAGGTGGCATGAATGGTGAAGAATCCACCTGCTGATGCAGGAGACGCAAGAGATGAGGGTTCAAACCCTGGGTCGGGAAGATCTCTCCGAATAATAATGAGAGTAATCTCATCCTCAGGAACAGAATTATGGCACCAAACTGTAGACTATTATGGCTCTTGACAACAATTACTAAATTCTCTTCAAAAATAATAAATCTGTACTCAGAAACTTCTGTATATTCCTAGTTGACAGTAGTTTTACCAGCATCTCCATCATTATAATCATGTTTGATGTGTGCATTGCTTTCTACTTTTATTGATTTCTTTGGCGGTGTCAGGCCTTAGTCACTGCATGTGGGGCCTCTCATTGCCATGCCCAGACTCTCTAGTTGTGGCATTTGGGCTTAGTTGCTCCACAAAATATGAGATCTTAGTTCCCTGACCAGCGTTCTTCCCTTCCACTGGAAGACAGAGTCTTAACCACTGGACCACCAGGGAAGTCCCACTTTCTTCTTTACTAGTAAGTTTAGTGTGTAAAAGTGTTTTTTTTTAAATTTTTTAATATCTAGCATTCATTGAGCTCACTGATTAACTTTTATTTCCATTTCTGTAAACTATGAACTCTTCTGACTATTTTCTAGGGATCCTCTATCCCTTGGACAACAAGGAGATCCAACCAGTCTACCCTAAAGGAGATCAGTCCTGAATATTCATTGGAAGGACTGATGCTGAAGCTGAAGCTCCAGTACTTTGGCCATCTGATGCGAAGAACTGACTCATTGGAAAAGACCCTGATGCTAGGAAAGACTGAAGGCAGGAGAAGGGGACGACAGAGGATGAGACGGTTGGATAGCATCACCGCCTCAGTGGACATGAGTTTGAGCAAGCTCTGGGAGATAGTGAAAGACAGGGAAGCCTGGCATGCTGCAGTCCATGGGGTCGCAGAGTTGGACACGACTGAGCGACTGAACTGAACTATGTGACTGAAGATTTAAGGGCCCTTTATGTATTTTTCCTTTTGAATCTCTGTCATTTGTCACCAAAATAATTACTGTGACCACATTACTATTATTCACCATCATTTATTGTTACTATGTGCTGAGTAACTTCTTTACCACAGTCTTGTAAGGAAGTATTACCCCAATTTTATAGTTGGGAAAACAGTGTCTTTGACACTTGCAAGGTTTAGCCAACCTCACAGACCTAAGAAATGCCAGCCCTGACCCCAGGCAGTCCCTAAACCCTACAATCCTCATGATATTGTTTGTACTTCTACCTATCTTAGTGTCTTCCAGTTATTTGGGTTTTATAACACCATCACAGTTTTTAATTCCATATAATCATATATGTCCATATTGTCTTAAATGTTTTGTTTGCCTGTAATCATAATTACACTGAGCATACATGTTGACTTTACTTGATACAAGGATTTAATGAGCCCCAGTGACAAGTGCCCATCCTTATTTTATAGAGGGATTTTGACATCCCACCTATCACTTGAAGCAGATATTTTTGTTACATAGAATGGTTTGATGTAGAGGCATTTTTTCCATAACTCACATCTATCCGTCTTCATTTTAAATTTGCAGGTGATAATATCATTTTCCAGATGAGAGAAGAAAAAGGAAGTCTTAAATAGTTGTACCGGCTTCCCCTGTGGCTCAGAGGTAAAGAATCCACCTGCCAATTCAGGAGACACAGGAGATGTGGGTTTGATCCCTGGGTTGGGAAGATCCCCTGGAGGAGGAAATGGCAACCCACCCCAGTATTCTTGCCTGGAGAATCCCATGGACAGAGGATCCTAGTGGGGTACAGTCCACGGGGTCGCAAAGAGTCAGACACAACTTAGCCACTCAACAAGAGCAACAAACAGTTGTGCTTTGGTCCAGAAGAAGAAGTGAGAGAAATCTGAAGACTCAGGAGTGATTTTTGCCCTGTCCTGTAAGTGGCCACTGCCAAAAGCAGCCATAAGAAACTGCGCCCTGCCCAGAGTTGGTGCACTGGGATGACCCTGCAGGATGGGTTGGGGTGGGGAGGGAGGTGGGAGGGGGGTTCAGGATGGGGGGCACATGTGCACCCGTGGCTGATTCATGTCAGTGTATGGCGAAAACCACTACAATATTGTAAAGTAATTAGCCTCCAATTAAAAAAAAAAAAAAAAGCCGCGCACTTGAGCCCCTGCTCCAGGCTGAGCCTCAGGCACTTGTGTTCAGAGGGCGAGTTCAGAGTCCTCTTGGCAAGGCCGGACACGAACCCCGAGACTCTGGAGCGGGCTGTCTGGGCTCTGGGGCACTGGCTCCCTGCCCCGTGAACCGCCCCGGGTGCTGCCCTACGCTGGCGGCCGGCCCAGCTCTGCTCCGCAGCCCCGGAGCTGGCTGGCCCTGCCAGCCCCAAAGTCTGAGAACCGCAGCTCCTCGGCCCCGTCTCCGAGGCGACAGAGGGATTCCTGAGCCCCGGGTGCCGTGGCTCCGGGAGACAGACCCTCCGGCGTCCACATCTCCTCGGAGCGGTTCTAAAAGCGGAGGCGCTGCCCAGAGAACCGCTTCCTGTTCACACAAGGGTCCTAAAGCTGACCGGAGCCCCTGAGGCGTGGGTCATCCTCCCCGGGACGAGGACCCTGACACTTCCCGCACAGCCTCTGCCCTGTGCGGTCAAGCTTTGATGTGCAGTCTGCACTGCGTGGAGCCCGAGCTGGAGCTGGCCTTTTGCCTCTGCTCTTGCCTCTGCCGACTTAGAGGCCTCCCGCGCCTGTCGTCATCGCCGCTGCCTCTCCTGGCCGTCCAGGCCGGTCGTCTCTTGGAGGTGCTGGCCTCCCCGCAGCTCGGCTCTGTCGCCACCGCGCCCAGCAGGCGCTGCACGCTCAGCCAGTCCCTGCTGCCGACAGAGCACAGGGCCAGGTGCGTTTCGGCCTGGTCCGAAGTTTATTCTGCGGCTAACATACGGGTACCGCCCATATATGATCACGGTGATCCCTGGGGTTTATCATAACGGTGGATCAGTTTTAGGAATGGGTGAAAACAGTCTTGTGTTCACTTCCCAGGGCACTGTTATGAAGTACCATAACCTGGGGGTCTGAAAACAACAGAAATCTGTTCTCCCGTCTTTCTAGACTTCAGGAGCCTGTAATCAAGGTGTGGGCAGGGCCCTGCTATGTCCAGAGTCCATGGACATTTATTGACAGTCTTCTGCCCAACGAATAAAGATGCAAATTTGTTATTTTGGAAGAGAATTTAGTAATCATTGACAAGAGCCATGATATTCTACAGTTTGGTGCCGTAATTCTGTTCCTGAGAATGAGATTATTCAAGTTAAGAGAAAGCTAGATTTATAATGTTGGAGAAGACTCTTGAGAGTCCCTTGGACTGCAAGGAGATCCAACCAGTCCATCCTAAAGGAGATTAGTCCTGGGTGTTCATTGGAAGGACTGATGCTGAAGCTGAAACTCCAGTACTTAGGCCACCTGATGTGTACAGCTGATTCATTGGAAAAGACCCTGATGCTGGGAAAGATTGAGGGAGGGAGGAGAAGGGGACGACAGAGGATGAGATGGCTGGATGGCATCACTGACTCAATAGACATGAGTCTGGGTGAACTCCAGGAGCTGGTGATGGACAGGGAGGCCTGGCGTGCTGCAGTCCATGGGGTTGCAAAGAGTTGGACACTACTCAGTGACTGAACTGAACTGATGCAGGTAAGATTATAAGAATTTTAAAAATCCAAAAATTCAGCCACAGAGTTACTTTGTCATAGAATAATAACTCTGTAACATATTTTGTGGTGATTAAAAATGACCTGTATTCTGGTCAAGAAGCAACAGTTAGAATTGGACATGGAGTGACAGACTGGTTCAAAACTGGGAAAAGAGTATGTCAAGACTGTATATTGTCACCCTGCTTATTTAACTTATATGCAGAGTACATCACGAAAAATGCCCAGCTGGACGAAGGACAAGCTGGAATCAAGATTGCCAGGAAAAATATAAATAACCTCAGATACGCAGATGACACCACCCTTATGGCAGAAAATGAAGAACTAAAGAACCTCTTGATGAAGGTGAAAGAGGAGAATGAAATGTTGACTTAAAACTCAACATTCAAAAAACAAGGATCATGGCATCTGGTCCCATCACTTCATGGCAAATGAGGGGGAAAATATGGAAACAGTAACAGACTTTATTTTCTTGGACTCCAAAATCACTGAGGTCAGTGACTGCAGTCATGAAATTAAAGACGCTTGATCTTGGAAGAAAGGCTATGATTAACCTAGATAGCATATTAAAAAGCAGAGACATCACCTTGCTGACAAAGGTCCATATAATCAAAGCTATAGTTTTTCCAGTAGTCATGTACTGGATTTGAGAGCTGGACCATAAAGAAGGCAGAGTGCTGAAGAACTGATGCTTTTGAACTGTGGTGTTGAAGAAGACTCTTGGGAGTCCCTTGGACAGCAAGGAGATCAAACCAGTTAAGCCTAAAGGAAATCAACCCTGAATATTAATTGGAAGGACTGATGCTGAAGCTGAAACTCCAAAACTTTGGCCACCTGATGTGAAGAGACGACTCATTGGAAAAGACCCTGATTCTAGGAAAGATTGAGGGCAAGAGAAGAATAATGCAACAGAGGATGAGATGGTTGGATGGCATTATCAACTCAATGGACATGGGTTTGAGCAGACTCCAGGGGATAGTGAAGGATGGGGAAGCCTGGCATGTTGTAGTCCATTGGGTTGCAAAGAGTCGGACATGATTGAGTAACTGAACAACAAAAATTACAGAGAATTTGCAAAATAGGGTGCATGTGGAATAATGTTCAGTAGGAGACAATATATTGAAGTAATTGCAAATATTTAGAAAATAACATATAAATATACATAGGTGCAGGTAAAAGGAAGCTATAAGAAATGCAATTCATTTTATATTGGTAAAGGTGTTTGGATATAATTTTCTGTATATTGTTTTATTAGTAAATGTATTGAAATATATATAACTATCCTAATTTCTCTACATTACATGTTATGAATCAATAACTCCTCATGATTCATTTTGTATTGACCAATAATCAGGATATAGAAACCCAATTCAGGGAAACAGTTAAGGGAAGCTGTGTCCTTTTGGGGCATTTCTTGACTCAGTTGAGAAATATTGACTGAGCATGTGTCTCTCTAAAGAAAACTTTACTCCTCAAGAATGACGCTCGGTTCCCTGACACTCTCTTTCCTATTAGTATAAGACCTCCAAACTTTTATTTATTTATTTATCATTATTATTTTATTTTGGCTGCCTTGGGTCTTTGTTGTGGCATTTGGGCTCTATCTAGTTGCAAGCACAAGGGTTTAATTGCCCTGAGGGATGTGGGATCTTAGTTAAAAAAACCAGAGATCGAACCCACATTCCCTGCCCTGGAAGGCGGGTTCCTAACCATTGAACAAAACCTCTGGGGAAGTCCCAGAACTCCAACCCTTCAATCAGCTAAATCATTCTCTATTACACTTACTCCTCAAAACAGCTTCAAAAATCACTAGAAAAGTCAGTTGGGAAAAGCAGCAAATAACTACAAGAATATTATACATGCCGGAACTAGCCAAATAGAAACGTTCAGTCATTCACCTGTTCTGTGGTCTTGGAGGAACCCTCTGAGTTTTACAAATGACAAAAACACACTGTCAAAGCTTCGGATCAGGCCCTGCGTTTGCATGCGAAGAGCAGCTATTTCAGGCTCTGGGCTCTTGTTACACAGGCTGGAAGCTTTGTTCTCAGAACTCACGCTGTCATCAAAAGGACTCAACACAAATACAGCAGTAGGTCTGCAGTGGCTGAGCTGTAACCACAGCTGCAAACCCCTCGTCATGTGAAAACTCCAGGCTTTTTCTGGGTCTGGAACGCCTGCGGGCCACGCCTTCCACCCGCCTGTCCTGCCCCTGGAATCCCATCCATTTTCACCATCCTCTTTCTGCCTCTCATGGTCAGACCAGCCCCTCCCCATGGTCTCCCGAGCAGCGATTTACACACTTACTCTGGTGATCTTTGTGTGGTCAGGGCCTGTGTGTCCTCTTCTAACTGGACTGTGACTTCCTCACAGTGGCCAAGTGTCTGGCCCACAGGCTCTTAGGGAACCTTAACGTGAGGTCTATGGGGAGACTTGCAGAGTCTGGGAGGTCCCCAAAATCGTGGGCAGTGGGAGTGTGTGTCGGGGGGCAGACAGGTGGAGGCCTCCAAACGGGTCCCTTGCTTCTATCCCTTGAAGGCCCCTGCGGTTCCAGCCAGTCCTGGAGGCCCCTCGCCCCTCGAGGGCGATGGGTTAGTAGTCTCCAGCAGATAACCTCTCAGCCTGAGCGGCACCTGGGGAAGCTGGCCGGGCCTCTCTGGGAAAGGGCTTCCTCACTAGTGAGGGGGTGAGAGGGGGCCGTCCCGGACCCACACGTGCCTGGAGGAGACCCCGCCCTCTGGGGACCCCAGGCAGCTTATGTGATGGAGGCAGTGTGGGGAGTTGGGAGAACCTGGGGCCCGCAGGTGTGACTGAACAAGGCCTTCACTGGCCCTGAAGAGTTGACTCTACACTTGCGACATGAGACAACATGAGTCCTCTTTCTTTTTTTAGAAAATTGATTTATTTTAGTTGGAGGCTAATTACTTTGCAATATTGTAGTGGTTTTTGCCATACATTGACATGAATCAGCCACGGGTGCACATCCATCCCCCATCCTGAAGCCCCCTCCCACCTCCCTCCCCATCGCATCCCTCGGGGTTGTCCCAGAGCACCAGCCTTGGGTGCCCTGCTTCATGCATCGAACTTGGACTGGCGATCTGTTTCACATATGGTAATATACATGTTTCAATGCTATTCTCTCAAATCATCCCACCTTCGCCTTCTCCCACAGAGTCCAAAAGTCTGATTCTTAAAAGTGAAAGTGTTAGTCATTCAGTCACGTCCGACTCTTTGCGACCCCATGGACTGTAGCCCGCCGGGCTCCTCTGTCCATGGAAATCCCCAGGCAAGGATACTGGAGTGGGTTTCCCTTCTCTTCTCCAGGAGACCTTCCCCACCAGGGATCAAACCTGAGTCTCCTGAATTGCAGGCAGACTCCGCACCATCTGAGCCACGAGGGAAGCCTTGAGGCACTTTTAATTGAATCTTTTGTAGCGGATATCCCTGCCAGGATGCAGCAGTTCTCAGCGGATGAAGATAAGAATTTCTCCCCTCCTCTCCCGAGGTTCAGGGTCTCTGTAGAAGGTCCTCACAGATGTTGACTGATTCACTGATGGACAGATTCGAATGCCTCCGAATAGCCCAGGTGCCATGGAAATTCGCCGGCGCCAGTTTGGAGGAGACCGTATTGATAGCCTGTGTGCAGTTCCCAGGGGCAAGGCCGCCACTCACACCGCCGGGTGGTGGGAGCGAGAACGTGGAAGCCCCAAGGGTCGGGGGCGCAGAGGCCTGGGGCAGCCCTGAGGGGTGCGTGAGGGAGGACCCAGCGGGCTGCTGGCTGGACACCATCGGGCCCCCCCTTGCTGAGAGCGTGTGAAGCAAACTGGCTTGATCTTGCGCTCCGCTGGCTGACCTGTCGTGTTGAGAAGGATTCCGAAGCTGTGTCCAAATTCTGCCTCCACCATCCCTTAAGTCTCCCAAGGACCTGGGGGGAGGCAGTCGGTTCGGTGCTGTCCTGCAGTTATGTCCTCCCTGTCAGGGTCTGGTTCTTGCTTTGTGGTCAGGAAACTTGGGGAGGAAACCCGGAAGCAGGGCTCTCCAGAGTGGGTTCACATAGCTCTCAGGGAAGGCCCTCATCCCTTTGAAAAGTGCAAGTTGCTCAGCCATGTCTGACTCTTTGCGACCCCATGGACTATATAGTCCATGGAATTCTCCAGGCCAGAATACTGGAGTGGGTAGCCTCTCCCTTCTCCAGGGGATCTTCCCAACCCAGGGATCGAACCCAGGTCTCCCACATTGCAGGCGGATTCTTCACCAGCTGAGCCACCAGAGAAGCCCCGCATCCCTCATCCCTTTGATATACTTTTTTCACAAACAATCCCACTCTGAGCTACCCCCGTCCTGCAGACCGCAGGCGGAGGTGCTGTTTTCAGGCCCGGGTGTATGTCGGTTCCTGTAACAGCTCCCTCCTCAGACCGCGGTGATCACACTCTGCTGGGTCCCTTCAGAGCCCCCGGCCTGCGGAGGCCCGGTCCAGCCGCCTTTGCTGGGACTGGTGCGAGGCTCTCCCCGCGGCTGCTCCGCTGCCCGGGGCTCCTGGTGCGTCTCCAGGGCCCATCTGTCTGTGTGTCTGTCGGGTGAGTCTCCAGGGCCAGGTCGCCCGATGGAGGACCAAAGGTTGCCTGGGCCCATGTTGTCACAAGTCCGGTTCGGCTGCGGCTCAGTCCCAGCGCGCTGGGGGCGTGCCCTCCGCTCGCCTGGGCGCCACAGAAGTGCGAGGGACCCCAGCTTAGCCCCGTCCACGCGCAGGGGGCGGGCCGCAGGCTCTGAGGGGCTCCCCCTGGTCACCCGGGAGGGACAGGGCAGGCGCTCCAGGCGGGGAGGCCTAGACAAGGAGCTGGACAGGACGTGGGCCCAGGAGCGGGCAGCTCAGGGTGTGCTCTTCTCTGGGGCGGAGGGTGACAAGGACGGCCTCCCAGCACGGAAGGGACAGGACGGGTCAGATTGGTGACCGGTGAGGCCGCGGGGGCAAGAGGGAGAGAAGAGAGGCCCGGGGCGGGGGGTCGCCATCAGAGGGTGTCTGGCTTGGGTCCCCACCGAGGGCGCTGGGGGTACTCCCTAACCCTTCTCTTCCCTCCCCGGGGGGTGGGGCGGGGTAGGCGACCAGAACGCGCGTCCCCGGGCGCGGGGACCTGCGCCTCCCTCGCCCGCCCCGTCGAGTGGTGGATCGGTGTCTCCAGCGCCCCGATGAGGGAGCTGGGGGTGCGGGGGGGTGGGGTGGGGGGTGCCTGATGGACCCGCTTGAACTGAAGCAGCTGCGCGCCTGGCTCAGGGGAGGTGGCCGAAGGACATGACCTTCCTCCCGGCCTTTCTTTTGGGAAAGGAAGTCTTTGGAAGTTTGCAGCAACTGAATAAATCTTGTCACCATGATAAGCAGGGTCCCGTGTCGCCCGCGAGGCGGAGAGAGCGCCACATTTCCTGCGATTGTTCCCGTTTATTGCATTTCAGCGTGTGGGCCCCCCGAGCCCCGATCCCGGGGATCCCGGGCAGAAGCGGCGGCCGGGGCCTCCGCGGGGCGCGGGGGAGCGCGGCCCGGTTATTCCCGGAGCGTTTAGGAGCCGCCGCGCCCGCGGCTCGGATTTCGGGCTCGGCCTCGGGGCGGCGTGACGCAGGGCGAGGCGGCTCATTATAGTAATAGACCCCCGCTCTGCCCGCGGGCGGCCTCCGGGGGCGGGACCGGCTGGCTCAGCACCCCTCCCGGTGCCTCCGGGGCGGGGAGGGGGAGAAGGAAGGGACGGGAGGGGGAGGGGGAGGGGAGGGGGGGCTGGGGGGTGGGGAGGCGGCTCATTATAGTAATGCACCCCGCGCTCAGCCCGTGGGCGGCCCTCCCAGGGCGCGGGACCGGCTGGCTCAGCACCCCTCCTGGTGCCTCCGGGGCGGGGAGGGGGAGAAGGAGGGGGAGACCGGGGGAGGGTAAGAAGGACGGGGAGGCGAGGGGGGTAGAAGGGGGGAGGGAAGGGAGGGGGAAGAAGGGGAGGAGGTGGGGGGGAGAGGTGGTAAGGGGAGAGGGACGCGGGGGAGGGGGACGGGGGATGGCTGAGCGGAGAGGGGGGAGGGGAAGGAGCGGAGGGGGAAAGAGAGAAGTGGGAGCGGGGGGCGGGGAAGGGAGCGGGGGTGGGGGAGGGGGAGGCCCAGGGGGGAAGGGGCCAGGGGTGAGGGGGAGGGGAGAGAAGTGGGGAGCGGGGAGGAGGAGGGGAGCAGGAGTTGGGGAGGGGAGCGGGGAGAGGGGAGAGGGAGGGGAACGGGGTGGGGGAGGGGAAGGCCCAGGTCCCCCGCCCCCCCCCCCGTGCCCCCGCTCCCCCGCCCCCAGAGCGCAGCCCCCCGCCCCGCGCGGCTCCGGAGCAGAAGTGACTCACGAGGAGCCTGACTCACGAGCCCCGCGGGCGGGCGAGCCCGGCGGGCCGCGCAGTGCGGGGAAGAATGTTCTCGCCAGGAAAGCTGTTTATAAGATGGAACCTGGTGCCCTTGAAATAGAAGCTCCTGGCACCGAGAGGACCGGCGGCCCCCCGCCACACGGGCCCTGCGTTTGCGCTTTTGACTTCGGAGCTTCGGCCCTTCCTCCTGGTCTGGGACACTGCAGGACTGTGACTGCGGCCCCAAAGCCCCGCCGCAGGCCGGGGAGCGTGCGAGGCCCGGCGTGGGCAGGGCTGGCCCCGGCCTCCCGCGCTCCCGGCCTGCGGGCCGCCCGGCTCGCAGGATAGGACCCCGCCTCTGCCTGCATCTTCGCCCCGCATTCTGCCTGCACCCGAATCCCCGTCTACAAGGAAACCTGTGACGCGCGGTGAGCGCCAGCCTGCCCCGTATCACCTCCTCCGGGTTACCTGTGCAGCCGCCCTCTTTCCCAATAAGGGCGCGTCCTGAGAGCTAAAGGCTGGACCTCAGCCGATGAATTTTGGAGGGAACACACTCCAACTGACAACGGATGTGGTGCATATGCGTTGTAGAAATTTAGAAAATAGCTGCAAAAAAAGTCACATTTCTACGGTTCAGAGATCACTGCTATGAATATCTTACAGCGTTTGCTTATGAAAAAAATCATAAAGTTAGACAAAACGAATACACTGTTTTGTATCTTTATCTAATGAGCTCTTCCTATTTCACTGAATTTCTTCTCATCTAATACCTAGTCTGAACTTCCTGGGTGGCTCAGTGGTAAAGAATCTGTCTGCCAATGCATAAGATGAAATTCCTGGGGTTGGGAAGATGCCCTGGAAAAGGAAATGACAACCCACTCCAGGATTCTTGCCTGGAGAATCATGTGGACAGAGGAGCCTGGCGGGCTACAGTCCATGGGGTGGCAAAGAGTTGGACACGACCGAGCACACACACACACACAATACCTAGTCTATGTTCAAATGGTGAGTTATGTACAGTAATTTTGTTCAAACCAGTAACCAAGACATGGCCTTTTGCTTTTACTGGTTGTTAACATTCCTTAGTTCTCTTTAATCCATAACTGTCCATTTTTCCTGCCATCAACTTATTTTGGCCGATTATGCTGCATAATAGTTGCCTCCTGGATTTGTTAGGGTGTTTCCTTGTGAAGCTGCAATTCCTTCCTCTGTGTCCTGTGTTGCCTCTGAACTGGGGCTATTAGAACCCTGATGGACTCAGCCAAGCATTTTTGGATAGGAAGCATTACAGGTACTTTTAAGTCTCTCCCATCAAATGACATGGAACATCTGGTCGACCGGACCCAGGTCAGATCAGGCCTTGCCAGGCGTGGGGGCGGTGCCTGGGGGTTCCTGCACTGTGTGGGAGGGTATATCTGATGACTCTGAGGTTTTTGCAACTTGAAAGTTTCTGGTAGTTGAGAGAGGAGCCCTCGCTGTCTGGTGGCAGCTGGTGCAGGGGGAGGGAGTGCGGTGGGCCCACAGAACCACGCTCATCGCTGCCCTCTGGGGATGCCACCAGTCTCAGGACTTCGAGTTCTAATAAGGCCTGCCCTGGGATTCCGAGACTGAGTCTACTGACTGGGGGTGATGGGGGTGTGCTTTCCCACCAGACCTGGGCCCCATGCTGGGCCACACATCTCCCTGTGGTGTGGGGGGGCCTGGCTGGGTCCTGGTCTCCCTCCCAGATCATTCCAGAAGGATCACGGCCCTTTCTCTCCAGCATTTTGCAGTTTTTGTTTTTTAAAGAGAAGCAATTTACAATGAATCATAGATTTTTGTGTGTATATTGGCTGGTCTTTTGACACAATCATACACTTGTTAATCTGTTAAGATATAGAACGTTCCCATCACCCGTAAATTTCCCGAGTGCCCCTTTCTAGTTACTCCTGGTCCAGAGGTAACTACTGTTTCAGCTTTTCCTGCTTTAGATTATTTTGCTTATTCTAGACCTTCACAGCCGAAGAATTGATGCTTTTGAGTTTTGGTGCTGGAGAAGACTCTTGAGAGGGTCCTTGGACCGCAAGGAGATCAAAGCAATTAATCTTGAAAGGAAATCGACCCTGAATATTCATTGGAAGGACTAATGGTGAAGCTCCAACACTTTGGCCACCTGGTGCAGAGTGTCAATTGGTTGGAAAAGAGCCTGATGCTGGGAAAGATTGAGGGCAGGAGGAGAAGAGGGCGACAGAGGATGAGATGGTTGGCTGGCATCACTGACTCAATGGACGTGAGTTTGAGCACACTTGAGGACATCGTGAAGGACATAGGAGCGTGGTGTGCAGTCCAGGGGGTGGCCAAGAGCCAGATGCGACTTAGTGACTGAACAACAGCAAGACCTTCACGTACGTGGAATCAACTGCATCTTCTCTTCTCTTCAACATGGCGTTGGGCTTCACCACAGTCATGAGGGTGTCAGCCCTTCACTGCCGCCTCTGAGCAGTGCTGTGTTATACGGACCGCAGTTAGTCCATCCATTCTCCTGTGGATGGACGTGCGGGCTGTTTCCAGTTCTCTGTAATGATAAATAAAGCTCTGCGAACACTCATGTGCAAGTAACTGAGTGCACAAAAGTTTTCGTTTCTCTTGGGTAGCTATCCAGGAGTGAAATTAATGAGTCATGGTTAAAGTGGGCGTAGCACTTCCCCTCCTACCAATAGCGGAAGGGAATGCTGGTGTCATCAGTATCTTTATATTTTGCAGTCTGGTGGCTCTGCCCTGATGTTTCAGTGTGGCTCCAGTTTGTATTTCCCCAATGGTTTATGATAATGAGAAGTTCTTTTGAGTTCTTACTGGCCATTCACAGAGATACTTTTTTGACCATAGCTTTTAAAAATTCATATGCTTCTCTTCCTTAATAGGCACTATAACTTGTTAAACAGGCATTTACCGCATGAATTGAGTTTCTTGCTCATGTCTCAGTGACGATTATCAAAGATAGGTGGATAGGAGTGATCTTCGACAAGAAGCAAAGTCATGTGTTTCCATCTAGTTGTTCCGAATCCCGCTCTCTGGGTTTCTGGCCAGTGCTGTGTGCATGATGCTCTGCTTTCTTTTTTTTTTTTTTTTTTGGTCATACCATGTGGCTTATGGGCTCTTGGTTTCCTGACCAGGGATTGAACCTGCACCGCCTACACTGCAAGTGAAGAGTCTTAACCACTGAACCTCCAGGGAAGTCTCTGTATGGTGTTCTTGAAGAGAGTTCTGATGCATCATAGGACCGAAAGGACCCCTCTGCCCAGTGTGCTGACGTGTGTTGGGGGAGGGAATAGAAGTGCATAGACTGCAGCTGAGAAGAGGGAGGAAATGACGCACAGCCTCTAGGGATAGAGTCTTGCCTCCTGGAGAATCATGGCCCCAAAGAGCTTTCTTTCTGTTTCAGGTAGAATCTTATTCTTTCAGTGGAGAGCATCATTTGTTACCTGCCTTGGCAGAGGTTCCTTGGAGCCAGAGAACAGCTCGGAGCCCCCAGGAAGCTCAGGCCCTGTCCAGCTTCCCCGTCCCGTCGGGATGGAGACACGGAAGCCAACCTCCTTTCCATTTGATCAGCTTCTTCTCGTCCTTCCGCAGGTGCTGCACCTGTTCCCCGCTCACAGTGACTCACTGTGGGAGGACTTTGCTGAGACACCCAGGACTGTCAACAGCGGACCTTAGGAGAGGCCCCAGGGCAGGAAAAGGAGAAGAAAAACAGGAAAAGAAGCTGGGATGGGAAAGGGAGTGGGGGCAGGGGGGGCGGTGCTGAGTCCCGGTCCTGTGTTCCAGCTGCAGCCCTGCGCGGCCGGAGGGGGCGGCTCCTGGAGGGTCGTGAGAAAGGGAGACCGATGACCCCGCATCCTCTGCGGGACTGGAACACTTACAGCGAAAACTAAATGATCAGGGAATGGCCGGTGTTACAAAGATTGTTTAGAACCCAGAGGGCTCTCCTGAAGCCCGCCTTGTCTTCCGTGGGGGGGGGGGGGGGAATGTCCCGTTATAAAAGTCTGCCCCCCGCCTTCTGAGATGGGCTCAAACCGCCCTCTGTTCCTGTAGAAGAGAGTGCCTGCTTCCGCCTCCCCTGACCTGGAAAATGCCCCCAAAGCAGCCATTTCCGATATGCTAAGACGTGTCAGAGCAAAGAGGTTGGAGAATCCAGGGACCCCGCGGAGGGGGATGGGTAGACGGGGCAGAGAGGATGGTGCTGCTCGGGGTGTGCCCGCCCGGAGCCAGGAAGGATTAGAAGGGCGAGGAGGGAGCCCGCGGGGCAGGAGCGCGCGGCTCCGGGGAGACAAAGCCTCTTTGCGCGCCTGCCACGGCGAGCCCGCTCCAGCGGAGAGGGGCTGTGGGAAAGTGTCGGAGCCCCAGGCCGCCCCGGGCCTTTGAGCCGCGGTGAAAGCGGCCTTGGCGGGGGGCCGCGGGCTGGCACGGAGGCGCTCTCCCAGGCCCCGGCGCACAACCTTGGGCCAGGGCCCACTCCCCGCTCCCCGCCCCCCCGCCCCCCAGAAGAGCCTGAGCAGCCTCGGGGGGGAGGCAGTGGGGGACGAGCTCCCCCGCCCCCTGCAGGGTGGCCCAGAACCCTGGGGAGGTAACTGTGCCCCCCCCCCCCCTTATTCACTAGCCTGGGAGCACGGGGTAGGGTCCCAGAGTCCGGTATCCAAGGGACTTGAGGTCCAGGTCGAGCCCTATGACCCCACTTCACAGAAGGGGAAACGGAGGCCCAGGGGCTTCCGTTTTGTGGCCAGAGCTCATGGCAGAGGTGCTGAAACACTGGTCCCCGGGGTCCCTGCTCAGGGCGGGCCCCACGTGCTGCCTGGAAGGGGAAGGACAGAAAAGGGATGAAAGGCAAACTGTGACCCCGTCAGGGTGTGTCCAGCCTGAGCCCCATGGGAGCCCTAGGCACGCTGCCATCTGGGGCAGGTGGAGGGGGAACCAGGGCGGGATGTGAAGTGCCAGCATCAGAGGGGGCTGTGGAGACCTCCTCCACCTCTGCGCTCTGACCTTTGCACAAACTGTTCTTCACAGCTTTCCCGGCTTCTTGAAGGTTTAATTGTATCCCATGGACGCAGAATGGGAGGGTTGCTGAGGACATCGAAGTTTCTGTGGGCCAACTTCCCACCGGGTATGGGAACCCACTCTGGGCCGGCCCTCGTCCTTGCTGAACCCCTCCCCCCTTTTTAGAACTGAATTATAATGAACATGCAACAACGTATTAGTTTCAGGTATACAACACAGTGATTTGACACTTTTCTGCATTATGAGGTGATCAGCACAGTAAGACCAGTAACCATCCATCACCACACACGTTGTTACATTATCACTGACTCTATTCCTTG